TTTTATTGCGCTACAAATAGATGGGTGAGGAGAAGCTCAGTTTAAAGATATGGATTACCTTTTCAAGTCTCAACCTACAAATGTAAGCTTGTATCCTCATCATTTCGCACAATTAAGAAACCCATGAGGCCATGTGTTATTAGATGGAGTGCCACACTTCTTACAGACGCCACGCATAAACAAGTATTTTGGAAGACGTAAAACCCGTTGCAGAATGAATGTTGTCCGTCCTTTTGGCCTCTTGAAGATCATATGAAATAGAAGGTAGTCGGCCTATTACCGATAACGTTCATGGATGCTAGCTACATCAAACCTTTCCGTTGGAATTGGTTAGCAGTTTAATGTTAATTTCAAGATGGCGGTCAATTCGTGTACTACATCGAACTGCGACAATCGGAGAGCTGACAAGCTCAAAATATATCAGGACATGTACATCTAAACGATTCACCATGTTCATGAAGTATTTTATTTGACTAATACATGATTTTTAGGGGTACTCCATCCAGGTACTCTAGATGGTACTCCATGGAGTAGGGCTCCGCCTTTTGTCATCTCCCGGCCAGAAAACATCTACATGGAAAGTTTTAAATCAATGTGATAACGTTGACGTGTAGGTTGCATTGAACGTGAATAGCTTCTTAGATCTGAAATCGTGATCTAAGATGCTAAAACATTCATCAGAATATAGAGTGCGACATTGTTGAGAATACTGTAAATATCTGAAAATGTGAGAGGTCATATCACTAACCAAGTGCTTACGCACACGTGTGGATAAATACCGAGAGGTTTCGGGCTGTAATTGCCTTTTTATGTAAGATCAGTCTGAGGAACATTGGAGAGAGGCAACTGCCCCGTGCTGAACTGTAGACGGCCGAGATTCGCGTGCACAACTTTTGCACAAAATGATTCAAAGCACAAAATCTACGGTGGCCCACAGGGGCAGTACAGAAATATTTTTCCCAGTACAAAAATATTTTTCCCAGTACATAAATATTTTTTCCAGTACAAAAATATTTTTCCCAGTACAAAACTATTGATCCCAGTGCAGTACAAAACTATTTATCCCAGTACAAAAATATTTTTCCAGTACAAGTAGGGAATGGGAACTAATCTCCAAGAGGTTATTGCGAGGTTCCTTGGAGCACATGTAAATGTGGCGGCACCTTTGGCGGCTTGTTTTTGCCATTGCTGCATGCTGTAGCTTCAGAATCGTGGTGGATCCAGCTCACAGGTATTGCCCGAAATGTGGCACAGAGGTTTTCCTTGTAGCATCACCCGCAAAGTCTACAAGCAACACCGTCTGAACCGCCGGATTCGCCAAAGACGAGGAAATTTTCTTTGCCAAGCTTTGAGTCGTACAAAGCTAAAAAGGGGTCCGAGAGAAGCTCGTTTTTTCGAGCAAAATCAACAAGCAAGACAAAGAAAAGCAAACTAGAGCCAGAAAAAGAAGTTACAATTACTGTCGGGATAATGACAAGTAAAGAGACTGGAAAAATACTTTTGTACTGAAAAAAATATTTTTGTACTGGGATAAGTATTTTTTGCACTGGGATAAATATTGTTGTACTGATAAATATTTCTGTCCTGGGATAAATATTTCTGTGCCGGGATAATTATTTTTGTACTGAAATTAATATTTTTGTACTGGAATATATATTTTTGTACTGTGATAAATATTTTTGTACAGCCCCTGTGGGCCACGGTAAAACTCTCTGTTTCTTAATAACATTTTGAACTGAGCGTTCAGTTTAATTGCATGACCACAAAAAAATCTCTAAACACGTCCATTAAGGTCACGACGTTTGGTCTTTTAAACACGTTTCTTGGTAAGAATACGGAAATATCTTAGATCCTCTTTTCAATGCACTGAACTTGTAACATGTTTACAAAATTACATGCGATTTACATAGGAGTTTGATGCATTTTCTAGTCTTTATTCATTGGACAATTGCTCAATTTCTAAGTCAAATATTACTAAGCCAGGGACCGGTCGTAATTTTCGCCCGGGAGGGGGGGGTGAGGTGGGTTGGAGGACTCTGGTTGTGCCACGATAGCATTTACCTGATCCTCTTAAGGCACTGAAAATTTTTGTAACCTACCCCAACCCCTCCTTGGCAGTCAATTGTCAATCAATTCTCTATAGGCCCCCTCCCCCCTTTGTTATCTGTTGGCGAAAATTCATACCCCCCTGAAAACCATGTGATCCTCACAAATCCTCCAATCCTCGCCCCCTCCGGCGATAAATATGACAGGTCCCTTAATAAGAAGGACCCACGAAGCCTTTCAGTAATGTAGTCCAAGCCGACAAAGATAGTCACGGTCTAATTTTTCAGATTAAGTGACGTCAAGTAGTTCGTCGATAAGCTTCAATTTGAAACTCTTCGTCTCCTGCATGTTTGTAGACTTTAATGTCTGCAACTGGATTGCTTAAATGCAGCAAATTCATGCTATAACTT